CACCAGAATTGAGGCGGTTCTAAGGACCGAGTTGAAGTAGTCCGTCGACCGTCGGGGACTCCATCCCCTCCCCAACATTCAGCATACGGCCCCAGCAGAAACGCCAAAAGGGCTGGTTTGCTTACTTCAGCTTAGCCTACATGTTGCGGCAGGTCGATGTACAGGTCAGTGTTTCCGAAGGCACGCTCCAGGATTAAACTAGTGTGTTTCCGTAAATGAAAATGGAAGTATTGCAAGAAATGCAAGTGAACCGGCGCCAAGACGAAAAGCAAGGGAATCGACGAAAACGCTAATGTGAGGAGCTTGATCAGTTCCTTGATTCGGCTGTACTAGGGCAGTGAGAAATTGAGCACAGAGGAGAAAGGATAGGCAAAAAACACAACGAGCAGGGCGCGCTAGACCCTGCTTGCCGAGAAGTAAAAGTAATGTTGTGAGCGATTTTATAAGGTCGTAGCTCCCTTGCTTCACACTTTGAGAATGGGCATCTAATCATCGGTGAGCAGCTCTCCTACCTACTAAAGGATTCATCCTCCTGAACCCACCCTAAGTTGTGCCTTCAATCGAGTCGGGTGACTTTGGTAGTCTAGAGAGGTGTAAAGGTTGACTGACCTAGACGGGATTCTGGGTTTGATCGAAAACGTCAAGGCGAGGGATACTAGTAAGCCCACTCGTGGCTATCGATTCTGATGAATGAATTTAGCTGAATGAATAGCTGTGTGTATGCTGTTCGCTTGTTGTTTTCATGCATTTCCGTATCGATAGGCGGGTGTTTCTCATTTCTCTCATCATTCTTCAGTAAATAGTTTATTCTTCAGAAACGTGGTAACCTCCGTACACGTCTACACCTCGATTAGTCGTCACTGTTCTTCGCAATATTCCGGCATTGTGACTTGACTTACAGATTCCCATCAAATGGGCCTACGCCTCCTTGCCATCCAACACCGGGCGTTCCTTCGCCTAGTCCGCAACTCATCGGCTGGTCAGTAACCTTTCGCTTCTTTTTGATAGATTAGTATGTTGCTTTAAAGGGAGGTTTCAGCAGCCGCGCCGCAGCCAAAAGTCGCGGAAAAAGTCGAACCAGCTAATCCGGAGCTGGCAGAGGAGATTAGACGCTGCTATTCGAATTTGGACCTATCCTTCGAAAATACACAAGAGGCTTTCAAAGTGAGTTACTACTAACCTTTTCTATACTATTCATTAGTTACGGTCAAGCTGTCCGTGAGGTCTTTACAAATACTTGCTTTCTTGAGTTTCCCTCCAGACCAGCGAATCCTCACAGCCTTATTTGGAGGCAGCCGTCGTGCCATTCCACTGTGCACGAAAGGGGAATGCACACTGAAGAGGGTGAAGACTCTTGAAGAAACGAAGGGTGGCGCTTCCGCAGCAGAAGCGTCTTACCAACAGCGTGATATGCTGTCGAAACCAACTCCAGCTCCAGCTGGCTCCCACCGACTACCCTGGCATATGAAACAGCCACCCCCGCATTTGCTGTGATAACCACTCCTGCGTTTTTCTTCTACTGCCGCGTTCATAGTTCGGGAGACTTGGATAGTAGGCGATAGGATATTAGGATAGTAGTAGAAGGAGATTGCGCTGACAAGATTGGATACGTATCGATTGAAATCGCTGGAGAGTAGTAGATTGGGCGACTTCAAGCGAATAGATCAATACATATCTAATCTTGTCAGCGCACTATCCTAATCTACTACTATCCTAATCTCCTACTCTACTACTATCCTACTATCGTAATATCGCAATCTACTACTCTCCAGCGATTTCAATCGATACGTATCTAATCTTGTCAGCGCAATCTCCTACTCTACTACTATCCTAATCTCCCCGTCAAAACTCGTTTCATGCGCGTCACTCTACAATTGCTGCTCCGATTCGCTAACTATGACGCGGCCTAATAAGTGAGAGCCGCCTACTGTTCTAGCGTCCCGATCTATACCTGCCAAGGCTAGCGGTTTCTCCTAGAATCAGACCCATGCTTCCATCTGAACTCTTGAACTCGTATTAGAACTTCTGCGATTACAAATATTGTTTTTTAAAACACCCTCGTTCACTAACTTGATTCTTCTCAACTTTTCTCTTCCTTTATTTTTTGAATTATTGAGGAGCATGGTATTTCTCTTAATCTTCTTTGAAAACGTATCCTTCCAGAGCAAATCAAACAGCCGATATTATTCGAGCACTTCTGGTTCTTCGAATATGCGGTATTGAACCCATGGTGAAGCACAATCAGAGAATTCTGTCTGTTCTCCGAGCGACCCTTGGACAGTCATTGTTTAAGAAGCTGTTGAAAAGCACATTCTTTGGTCATTTTGTCGCAGGAGAAAGTCGCGAAGAGTCTTTTGATATTTATCTCTTCATTATTTTCCGATAACCCTTTTGTTGTTATTTGATTGGGTTTATAACCAAATCTGGGAGCTATAACACCGCGGTCCAAAGAGGATCCACGAAGAACGTCATGGTGAATAACAGGAAAGAAATGCCCATTTGGACCCCGACACCTGACCTCGTGAGGGTGTGCCACCGAAAAGCAGCGAAAGATTGACCCGCGATTTAGCATGACCTCTCTTGCCGATAGATTTCTCCGGGATCCATGGACTAATCTAATCCTCTCGCAGGTCTACACGCGGCAGTGACTGGATAGCAGAGAGAGCGCTAGTGTTGAAGAGGGCACAAAGGTGAGAGTCGCATCACTACGGAAATCAGCGGTCAAGGAAGGTGTCCCATTTCTCGGATTCCGGGCCGTTCCGTGTGGTTTCGTTTTTCATCCCTGCCCTTATTTCCAGTAAGCTACCTTTTCATCGTAAAATCCACCTTTATGCCCTACAATGAGCTTCTTTTTCATCTTCGGGTTAAAGGCGTCCCGTAGAGTTTGGGATGGATGATGATAGTGGCCTTTTTACGAACCTCCTTTTAGTCATTATGCAAAGCGTTTTTGTGACAAGTGAATACTCTGAATTCTCAGTGACCCGTTGTGGCACCGTCCTAAAGCGGAATTTTGGAGTGAAATCTATACTCGATTATTCAGTGGAATCCGATCTGAGCACTGAACAGGCTGTCCAGAAAACGAAATCTTCTAAACTAGCGGCTGAAATCGCTCCAGCAGTACGTGCTTTTTCCCTCCATGTAATGAATAATAAAAATTAGACTCGGAAAAATAAGCTCGAACTTTCTCCATTCGTTATCTTTTTTCTGACTTTTGGAATAATGTTTCGTTCATGATGCATCACTTGAAAAGAAGATACTGTTGTTGACGATAGAATTGTCAAAATACGTCTCATTATGGCTATTGCAAAAAACGCTTGAAGTTTTGAAGGTAGCTGTCAAGGTATGGAGGTTTTTAGCAGTAAAGGTAGCTACTCAATAAACCCTCCAAATAAATTATTTTCCGCTAAAAACACCTTCAAAAAAAGGTCCCCATCATTTCCTCTTACTTCCACTCCTTTCCTGTCATGTAGGAAGCGACACACGACGAAATTTTAAGTCCAGTACACGGATAGGTGGTTCCCCCACATTCCTATAAACACAATTAACTTGATGCTGGAAGTGTTTTGAAACTCCCCCGCCCATCCGAACATGTTTGTTGAGGTGGCATCCACCTTTGCAATTTTGCCAGCCGTCCAGGTCGTTGTCTCGCTGCCTGCTATGCTTCTTACACTGACTTCGCAAAAGCTCATCGTGCCCATAATTTTCGCGACTACCACTCAGGAATCTCCTCAAGGCCGATGTCAGGCTTTGCGAATCGCGCGATTCGCTGGCGTATGCGGTCGCGTCGCGGCCTGTGAATTACTCAATTGGCTGGTACCGCAACGCGACCGCGGACGCCAGCGAATCGCGCGATTCGCAAAGTCCGACATCGCCTAAAGGACGAATTCACGATTAGAATGAAGGTCGAAGAAGGAGTAATTCACCTAGTTGAGGGACCCGCGGACCTCCTAAGGGTGCGGACTGAAGCGCAATTGGCACCGAAGGAGTTGACCTCGGCGACCTATTAAGGCTCAATCTTGGCGCGGTGGGCCAGTGCACGCCCACCGATCATCTGATCACTCGCCGCAGGTCTATACGTGGCGAGTGATTAGATAGGTGAGAGAGCGTAGCGTTGAAGAGGGCACAGCGATGATAGTCGCATCAATGCTCAAATCAACGGGCAAGGAAGTGGTCCCATTTCTCAGGTTCTGGGCCGTTTCGCATGGTTTTTCCTTCTTTAGTGTACCACTCACCATCGCTAACTTAATTTGAAATGGGTTGCCTTTCCAGCGTGAATTCGTCCTTTAATCATGCCACTCCGAGGTTGGCACAGAAATTAGGAACAGCCTCTAAGAATCCACGGTACATCGGCGCTTCACACTGCACAGCGTTGACTTTTTAATTTGAAGAAGTTCCACGTAAGATCGTGGGTAACGTAGAGGCAATGGAAAAGCCCTTCGCGTGGATTGAGGTGGGTGCCAGGCCTACCACTGCAATAGTCGCGCCACTTTCGGGTCTTCAAACGCGACACTAACCAGGAAAAGTCTTTCAGGGGCTGCCGAGCTTTTTTAAAAACGGTTTTTTCTGTCCTAGGATCCGAGCACATAGGGAACACACCAGAACCCGTAGTCCAATTCTTCTAAACCGCCCTGTAATACCCCTGAAAAGGGCCCTGCTAACATTCCTCGTGTGGCAACTTTTGCATTTAGAGCAAGCCTTCAAATTTGCGCAAAATGATTAGCATGAACATGAATGCCTATCCATTAAGGACCGGTCAGTAAACCACGGCCAGCTCGAAATGCAAAAGCTTCACGAACGAGAATCCGCGCCGTGGAACCTCTCTTCCGTGGTACTCAGAGGCCGTTTAGGAAAAACCATGAACCATGGTGTCTGTGCGTTCCTGCCATGGCCTCCTAATACGCATCGCACAATCCGTTTTGTCACTACCTGATAGCTCTTCGCTGATGAGACGCTAATGCCTCAAGCTTAGTCCCCTACGCCCGGAGATTCGCACCTTATCCACCCCATAACTAACTCCATATCTAAAGTGGCCGCTACTCTCTTGGCTAGACTCTTTTCCCTAATCCGCGACCACCTGATCCACTTAGCTGGCGTTGCTTCCTGTCATCCTTCTTTCCTGCGCAGAGCAAGAAGTCGCCATTTTCCCTACGTTATATGCTCTCTTTTTCTCCATCGCTTCGGCAACGTATTTCATCCGATGAGATTCCCATGTCAAACTTGAACTGTGATCCCATGCCTTGAATTGTTAAATCAATTTATGCTATCCATCTGCGAGCGAACCCAAATAACGCGTATAGCAGGGTCGTGACAATGTTGTGACACCATAAATCATTTGCTCACTCTGCTCTCCTTCACAAGCCAGACACCCCCACACGAGGCTCAGGCTTTTAGCACGTTAAAGGAGGAATTCACGATTAGAATGAAGGTCGAAGAAAGGGAAACTGACCTAGTTGAGGGACCCACGGACCTCCTGAGGGTGCGAACTGACGCGCAATTCGCATGGAAAAATTTGACCTCGGCGACCTATCATGCCTCAAAGCTGGCGGGTCCGGCGATCTCCGCCCACCGATCATCTGATCACTCGCCGTAGTTCAATACGTGGCGAGTGATTAGATAGCTGAGAGAGCGTAGTGTTGAAGAGGGCACAGCGCATGGATCGCAATATTCAATGATCAGGCAACGGCCAGGAAGGGGTCCATTCTGGGTCTGGGCCTTTCTCATGGTCTCCTTCTTTAGTACCACCACCATCCCTAGTTGACTGGGAAAGTTGCTCTTCATAACGTGATTCGGGCCTTCTGATGGCTCCCACCACCGTCCCCCACCCCTCTGTAGCTCACACACCCCCCCCACCCCCTGAATTGGCCCCATTCCCCCTGGCTCACGCATTCTTACTTACTACCAGGTTCTCGCTACACCAAATGGATTAGATGTCATACAACTGTCGTGACACTATCGCGTCTCGAAAGGCCGCCGATTCTTTGCCTTGACCGCTGCGACTGCTGCCATTTCTTCTCATTCGCGGCATACGCGGTGTCTGTGTCTTTCACGACGAGTGATATCGCAAATTCCCTCTCAACCCTGCACCGTGTCTCTCAGGTCTTTCATGGTCCACCCCAGAAGAAGTGAGGAGTTTCCCAATTTCAATATTTCTCAAGATATTCTCTGCTTTTCTTCCTCGCTGGTGGTTCTCATCACACCGTCAGTTTCATTTTCGAGCAGAGAACAGACCAACTTGGTCGCGGAGTGTCCCTTAGAATTGGCTGAGTAGAAAAAGCTGGATGTCATTATTTTGAAGTTTTGCCTCAGTGGCCATTGAATGAACTGCTCCACAAGTTTGCGTCTTTACCTTACGATGGAGGATATTAGCAAAATTTTGAGCCAATATGGCTCCGTTTGAACTCTCACACAAATAGCTGGGCCCCTAGGGTGGAGCTAAATTCGTTAACTCTGTGCGACTCGAATGAATGCGGGCGTCCAAGCGTTGCGACCAAAATTTTTAGCCTCTCAATCTCGTGAAATAGTCCAAAGTCCTAGGCGAGAAACTTTCCTTCCTAATTTCAAAGGCTCAGACCAGAAGAGCAACATATGATGTATCAAATTCTGAAAATTTGTAGCCAATTCGTTAGGCTTTTTAGCCCTTGTTCAGTAAGCCTTGATGAGTCTAATAAGAGAACATCCAACGTTCTTCATGTTCACATATGAAAACCCACAGTCTTCAAAATGAAGACCATACGATCTTTGCACTTTTTCAGGCTATAAAAAATCGTATCGATGAGAAAACCCTGCAAGGAACCCAAAAACAGTATGCTGTCCATGAAGAGTTTGCCGACCGTAGAAAAGACGTCGTGAGTGCCAGGTCAGTTCAAAAACGTGTTCAGTGACATTACAATGAGGTATTATTTCAGCATTCAATATGGATTTACCGATCTCCAGTATGGTGAAGCTGAATTCAACAAGTAGATAACTGCTCAAACATTATTTCGGAGTACTAACCCAGCGCAGTATCCAATTTTAGCGCGCTAAAACTCATACTTGTCTTACAACTGTCATCAGGCCACGGATCGTAGTGAATACCTACAAGGAGGGGCGGGGAGGGAGGAATGGGGGGTTAAGAGAGTCAAAACAGAGAATCTGTTCCTACGCTTCCGACGGTGAATTAGCTTATCTTTGCTAAACGTTTGGTGGATACCTTGGAACTGTAGTGCTTACTGTATATTCTCGGGGAACTTTAGAACAGCTCCATTCTACACAGACGACATCAAGAAACTTTGCCAAGCGAACATGAAGCGATTTGAGCCTAGCGTGATCTTCAATTTTCTAACCTTCGCACCAGTCCCTCTCAGCTCCACTTCTAACTTCTGCGGCCTGCGTTATTATGACTCCAGCGAACATGATGTCAGCAATTTTGTGGGCAAAGGCAGTGATTACGGTAGGTATAAGAAGGGTTTATAAGAGACTGGTGGTACTCAATGGTACGCCAGTGGCGAAAAAGCGGAGAAATCCGTCAACAAAACGCTAAACACCCCCTTTTTTGGCCGTTGGTTTTCACCAGGTAACAGTTCAGAAAGCGGACCTGTGAACGAATTCATCGTAACGCATTTGGTGACAGCAGCATGCTTCAGTCGAGTTGCTTCAGTTGTGCCGCTGCTGGCAACGCAGCTCGTCCAAATCACCAAGTAACTAGTGGGATCGCTTTTGGGGCGGAGTGCTTTCGAAGTCCTGCTCAGCAACCAGCGCACCTTTCGTCGTGAAAGCGCACATCCGCTTCCTTGGCAGCCAAGTAACTGCTTCGTGTGGTGCATATGTTTTCTCGATGCGCTCCTTTACCGTAATCGCTGCCTTTAAGTGAGATGGCAGAAAGCTGCTCAGAAGATGCCTCGACAGTCATCTAACACTTGTGTAGTGCAAACCTGAAGGTGTTTCATCCTAACTATTCTAAAAACGATATTTAGAACATATCTCTACGAGGGAGAAGAAACATGCGATCGTAACCGAGACATCTTCATGGAGACTGTTGATGCCGTAGCGAAGGTGACTCAGGGTGAAGGCTTTGCAGCAATCAAGGTGACCGCTCTAGGCAGGCCGACGCTGCTCTTGAAACTTGTCAGGTAATGAACTTAACGTAGAGGTACCTTGTTAAAGGCAATCAGTTCTGATAATTTATAAACCAGATTGGTCCCCCGGCAAGCGCCGGAACCTCCCTACCTTGCGTAAGCTTTCCCTTCTCCCTCCTCTCCTTACTCTCCCCTCGTTCCCCTCTGCTCGCCGGCTACCACAGCATCACCTTGTCGAATGACCGAAAGTGTGCTAAGTGCGTGTTTATATAGCCGTTGGGGATGCTATCACAATCATGCCATTGCAAAACAGTAATAGCTAATTAGCGGTTTGTTTATCCCATGAGCTTCCTTCTCACTCACTTCATTTTGCGGACGGACACACATACATACATACATACATACACACACACACATACAGACATACAAACCGACACACAAAGTTAGCGCTTTATAAAATAGAAATATAATCACAAATTTCGCCAATGTCGGGTGCGAATGTGTTCGAGGTTTGAGCAGCCCAAGAATCCTGCTAGAAACTATCGACAATGGACCTACCATTCTGTTTGTTGACTGTTGGCGCGAGTTTGCGGCTTTGGCACGGGTTTCGTTGAGGACACTATCTAGAAGATATACACGCGCCGCGATAATGGCACCGACCAATGTCGATAACAAATGCTGTTCCCAGAATGGAAATTGAGCGATCTGCAGACTGATGAAATCGCGGGCGGGGCACTTCGGAGCGCAGTTGGGTTTCTTGTCGCCCTCAAAGCGTACCAGACTTTTCAACTCCCCCTTCCGCTTGCTACAGCTCCTGCTGGTACATACATACATTATTCGCAACTTTTGGCTTAACTACCAAATAAAGGATAAAGGATAAAGCATTTGCCGTTGATCAATCCCTTTTGGGATGCGGCACGCATTCTACTTCCATTTGTACATTCGCAGTGGCGTTTGAATGCGATGTGGCCTATACAATGACTTGCGGGGCCAGCCGATGTTCAAGTCAGTGTTTTTATCCTCCCAGACAAGTCTGGTACCAATTAACCGACCCCGGAGGGATGGAAGGCTTGGTTGGCCCGGGCGACTCACGACCCAGGATTTGATCCCGGACCGCTCGCGTGGTGAGCGCGCCACTTGTCACTACACCACTTCCGCCCCGTAAAAATATCTAAAGAAAAGGACCGAAAAACTTCAACTATAGTCAGGCCGAACGTAGAAAAAAGGTTTTGCCGCCGCTCAGTTGTCGTCTTTAAGTCAGGCCTGTTGCGGCATGTAGCAAGGATCTGGAGCTCCGTGTGGCGAAGTTTTGTTTATGATAATCGAAGGCCAATTCATACAAATCATTACCCTATGCAAATGCCCTTACCGAAATGATGATGATGGATGAATGGCTTTGAAAAGCGGCTCCAATTACAGAGTCTATCGCTCAAACCCGCAACTTCTTCAAAACCCTAACTGGGACAGAGCACATTCAATTTTCTCGTCTGAGTGAGGAGGAGCTTGTCAAAAAATTACAAGTGAGTCCTTTTTCTGTTTTCAGAATTCCTTAATAGAATTCTCTTTTTTCAAAATTATAACTTGTGACTTTCGTCTCAACAGTGTCCTGTATTTCTTCCATCGCAGTGATCGGAAATTTTTTTGGGGAGGGGGGGGGGGGAGTTAACCTCCGAGCATTTTCGAAAAAACGTGAGAAGGATCGGCGACGAGAGCTCTGCTATCTATGTAAAAAACCGTCGTTTCTGAGCCTCATCCTCGAGTGAGTAGGACGTGCAAGGGGCGGGGTGGTCAAAAAAGTGTCACTCCCCTCCACATCCAAAATGGGATTGACTACACTTTGCTCAATCAAAACTGGCTGGTCCAACTGAAGGTTGAGGAGCACAGCCCAATCTATCAGAAAACTCAAATCTTCTTCCCCGGCGACATCGGAAGATTTCTTCTGAATCATGGGGTACGGTCTGAAATGAAACTAGGTTCTCAAAGGATCGTGGGCCAATACGACCTTATTCGAAGCGCTGATCGAAAAGAGTGTTCTATAGTTAGAGACCAGCTTCAGGCTGAAGCAATTACAAAAGGCCTCCTTGAACCCGACGGTGACGGCAGATGACGTCCTATTCTGAGGACAGCGAAGGACAGTGAAGGAGGGCCTGCTTCTGCTTAGGGGGACATCTAAGGAATATTTCGTCATAAAACTTCCATCGACGGCGGCATCCTTGCGACGGAAAGTTTGGTGTTGTGCGTCTGAGACTCGTTTTTTGCCTCCCCCAAACCCCTGCATTCAAGGAGATCGTTGATGGGCGGAAGGAGGGCACCAAGAACGGCACAATATGTTCTGTGGTTTCCACTACCGCTCCTGGACAACACATTATCCAACGATTATTCAGGTTTTTGTGACCTACAGTTGTTCCAGCGGGAGCTTAAGATTTCCTAGGGGAAGAAAATCATCATTGATGTCCAGTTTCTATTCCTATGAAGTAGTTTTTTTGTAATTTCATATGGAATCTTGATCAGTGGCTGAGATTATTTCCAAAATTAATTTTGAATTACTTGATTATTCAACGCACTGCCGAGCTTACTACGAATAAATATGTCGTTGAATATCTTATTTTTCTTAGGAGCTTAGCACTGTAGGGCCTGCCAACGCACGTTCTCTGGCAGAACTGCAGGAGCTAAACAGTCGGTGAATATGCTCGTACATTTCTGTGCATTTAAGGACCTGGGCGTCAAGGCGGACTCGAAGCAAATCCGAGATTGGTTCAAAAGTGTT